TCGTTCTGTGCTCCAGTCTGTGCTCCTGACACAAGGCCAGCATGGCATTGTTGTCTACGTACAGAACTGGAGGAGAACGAGGCGGCTCTCCCAGGTCGGTCAGCAGGTAGGTGAGCCAGCGTAACTCCTGTGCAGCCATGGCCCATGCGTAGATCTCAGCCTCACAGCTGGAGCTGAGAACAGAAGACGAGCGGGTAGACCGCAACGAAACAGAGCCGGAACCAAGGCTGAAGGTGTAACCCTGTGACGACCGCTGCGTAGCCAAGTCGTCAACCCAAGAAGCGTATGCGTGACCAGTGAGGACCACTGGACCTCGCCCTCCAAGCACGAGCCCCATGCCCGACGTACTGCACAAGTAGCGCAACACCCTCTTAGCAGCATCCATGTGCCAGGAGCGACATAGCGTGCTAGGATGCTAAGAGGGTAGGCTAGGTCAGGTCGAGTGCAGGTCATCAGGTACATGAGGCAGCCCATAAGCTCTGGATACGGGCCACTCGACTCTACGGACTCATCCGAAGGCAGAGCTGAGAGCGAGTGGCGAGTAGGCAGATGAGTGGACTGTGGCGAGGAGTATGTGAAGCGGAAGCGCTGAAGGACCTGCTGCACCATGTGTGACTGAGTCAAGGTAATGGTGCGCTGTGCTCTGTCCCGGGTGATCCGCAAGCCAAGATAGCTTGTCAGCTCACCCAGGTCTGTGCACGTGTGTCTCTTCTGCAGTTCCGACTTCACGTGGGCGAGTGCGTCAGTGTCAGCAGTGGCAAAGACCAAGTCGTCTACGTACACGAGAACGTAGAACAGCGGCAGAGTGGTGTCAGTGCGTAGAAACAGCGACGGGTCAGCAGTAGAAGGAGCAAACCCAAGAGCAGCAAGAGTCGTCCTCAGTGTGTCGTGCCACTCACGGGGTGCCTGGCGGAGACCGTAGACTGGCCGCCGGAGGCTCCACTGGGTACCAGGAGGAAACGACCCAGTGAAGCCAGGTGGGCGGCGCAGCCAGATCTCCTCGTGCAGGCTGCCCTGTAGGAAAGCAGTGCTGAAGTCAAGAGAGTGGAGCTCGTAATCACGCTGAGCGGCGACGTGCAGCAGAACCCGAAGAGTGGTCATCTTCGGGGTAGGAGAGAAGGTCTGGAAGAAGTCAACTCCCTCACGCTGACTGAAGCCTCGTGCAACGTAACGCGCCTTGAAGACAGGCGGAGAACCCGGCGGCCGCTTCACCCTGAAAATCCACATGCCACTGACGATGTTCGCCCCAGGCGGGGGAACCTCGTCGACGTAGGTGCCTGTGGACGTCCAGGAAGCCAACTCTGCGTCCATGGCTGACTGGCACTGAGAGGAGTAGGGACCCTCTATCGCCTCTGCGTAAGAGCGCGGGGTCGGGATGTCTGGTGCATCCGGGTCTCCCTCAGGGGCAATCAGCATGGACACAAGATGAGGTAAAGCAGCGGCAAAGCACTCAAACTCCTCCTGTCTGTCCTCAAGGACGTCCGTGCCAAGAGCACACTCACCCCCGACGGACCGAGGACAGACAGATTCAGACTCAACAACAAGGCTAGCGGCGTAGTCTAGACGACAGGCGGCAGCAAAGTCAACAAGCTCAGCAACTAGAGCAGACGCAGCAGTGGACTCAAAGGAAGGGTCAGTGACAACAGTGGCGAGGAAACGCGTGACAGTAGGACTGGCAGCACGAAGGGAGTCAGACTCCGGGTCCGGACCGTCAAGAAGAGAGGACGCAGGAGGAGTCGGCAGAGGGACACGCTGTGGAGCAGTGGAAGGACGCAGAGTCATATAGTGAGTGCCAGGGACAGGAGGAGGACGCTCACGCGAAACACGACGACCAGTGCGGACAGCGCGGACAGGCGACGCTAGACGAGACTCAGGCGACGCAGGACGAGACTCAGGCTCACGACGCTCCGTAAGACCTCTAGTCGGTCCTGCGTAAGGAGAAGGACCAGGCAGCGGAGAGGCTGGCTGTAACTGTGACTGCGACTGGACAGGCGGTGGACTCAGTAGGGGAGGAGGAGGACCAGTAGAGGGCAGGAGGCCAAGAACCTGCTGAAGGAGCGGAACGTAGTACGGCCGCGGCCGCGCAGCACCTCCTGAACCAGCAGAGACAGCACCAGCACCCTCAGCTCCAGGGTCTCCAGCTACAACTCCCGCAAGTACCACCAGCAGCTCCAGCAGCTCCAGCACCTCCAGCTCCAACTCCCGCAGCAGCTCCAGTCCCAGTAGCTCCAGTACCTCCAGTACGAGCACCTCCAGGACCAGCGGCTCCAGCAGCTCCAGCACCAGCAGCACCTCCAGCAGCTCCAGCACCAGCAGCACCTCCAGCAGCTCCAGCACCAGCAGCACCTCCAGCAGCTCCAACACCAGCAGCACCTCCAGCAGCTCCAGCACCAGCAGCACCTCCAGCAGCTCCAGCACCAGCAGCATCTCCAGCAGCTCCAGCACCAGCAGCACATCCAGCAGTACCACCAGCAGCTCCAGCACCAGCAGCACCTCCAGCAGCTCCAGCACCAGCAGCACCACCAGCAGCTCCAGCACCAGCAGCACCTCCAGCAGCTCCAGCACCAGCAGCACCTCCAGCAGCTCCAGCACCAGCAGCACCTCCAGCAGTAGGCCCCCCAGCTCCAGCAGCACGGCTTCAGCGCCGAGCGTACCACTCACGAAGCTGCCGTGGAGAGAGGGGCTCCCGCCGCGACGGGACACTCGGAGGACCTCCAGTCTCAGCACCCCCAGACTCAGCAACCCCAGGCTCAGCACCCCCAGGCTCAGCTCCCCCAGGCTCAGCACCCCCAGACTCAGCAACCCCAGGCTCAGTACCCCCAGGCTCAGCACCCCCAGACCCGGCACCCTCAGGCTCAGCACCCCTAGCAGCACCAGAGTCAATAGCTACCTCAACAGGCTCGACTGCGTCTACCTGAGACACACCTGAGGGGGCAGGACCCTGAGGGGGGAGGGGGTCTACCAGAGGAGTACCTGGCGCGAGGAAGAGCGGCGGCGGGGGGGGAGGGGGCCAGTGCGGTAGGGGAAGAGACGGTAGTAAGGAACCGACTCGTCAAACGTGACGTCCTGAGAGGACAGAACACGGCGCAAGGTGGGGTGGTAAAACTGCCAACCAGGCACGTCAGGGGGGAAGCCAAGGAAGACGCAAGGAACGGCACGGGAAGACAGCTTGTCTGCAGACATGTCGCGGACGAAAGCTCGAGATCCCTAGACATGGAACGCAGACGCATCGCCAACCTTCCCCGTCCACCGCAGAGTGGGGGTGGTCTCCGGCATGGAGACCCGGGGCTGGAGGTTGATCTGATGCACCGCGTACTGAACCGCGAACGGCCACAGAAAATGGGGAGCAGCCGCATGGATCATGGACGTACGAGCGACATCCATGACCATGCCAATGCGGCGCTCAGCAATCCCATTTTGCTGTGGAGAGGCCGGAAGCCGTGAACGTCTGGCGGATGCCCTCCGCCCGACAGAAGGCTCGCAGAAGGTCGGAGGAAAACTCTCCACCTCTGTCTGAGTGCAGACGCACTGTTAAGATGTGAGGAGCCATGGATGGCGAGGGAGTTAGTAGGGTCGAAAAAATTGTACTAGGAAAAAGTGTGGAGATACATTTGAAAGATAGGGTTGGGAAACCCCAACTGAACCTAGGGCGTGCTCAATGCAGAGACAAACTGCAAAGTGAACCTAAGACGAACGAGAAATTAAACTAAGTCTAAAAGTGGCCGAAAAAAATATAGAAGGCCAAAATGAAATGCAGAGCGAATACTAGCCTACTCCAACATACCCCCAGGCTAGGTGAAGCTCTGGAATAGAACACCTAGCAAACCGGAACACCCCCAGAAGTGGCGAGACGAGTGAGACCAAGCGCGCGGACGTAGAAACGGTGCGGCGCACGAAGGAGGGCCTTGGTGAAAATGTCAGCAAGGTTGGCGTCGGCAGCCACCTTGCGAAGGCAGAGGAAACCAGACTGCACCAGCTCGCGCACGAAGTAGTAGCGGACCTCTATGTGTTTGGTGCGGGCGTGATACACAGGATTTTCAGTGAGATGAATCATGCTCGCACTGTCACAGGAAAGCGTCACAGACTGCTGAGAGTGACCAAGCTCAGCAAGGAGAAAGGAGAGCCAGCGAGCCTCCTGAGCTGCCAATGTGCCTGCGTACAACTCAGCCTCACAGGTGGAAAGACAGACAGAGGATGAACGAGTGGAACGCCAGCTGATGAGACCACTGCCAAGAGTAAAACCATAACCCTGAGAGGAGCGGCGATCAGGGCGAGAATCAACGTAGGAGGAATCACTGTAACCGGAAAGAACGGGGGGAGAAGAGCCACCAAGAGTGAGTCCAAGATCAGATGTAGCGCGAAGATATCGGAGAACGCGCTTGGCAGCAGCCCAGTGCACGTCAGTGTGGCGACCAAGGCCAACAAAGCGAGAGAGAACACTTGAGGGGAGAAATAAGAGGCGGAGGAATATGGCGAAGTAGTCTGCTGCTGGGCAGCTGAGGGGAGAAATAAGAGGAGGAGGAATAATCGGCGGGGTAGTCTGCTGCTGAGCAGCTGAGGGGAGAAATAAGAGGCGGAGGAATATGGGCGGAGTAGACTGCTGCTGCGCCGCTGAGGGGAGAATTAAGAGGTGGAGGAATATGGGCGGAGTAGTCTGCTGCTGCGCCGCTGAGGGGAGAAACAAGAGGAGGAGGGATAATGGCGGAGTAGTCTGCTGCTGCGCCGATGAGGGGAGAAACAAGAGGAGGAGGGATAATGGTGGAGTAGTCTGCTGCTGCGCCGATGAGGGGGGAAACAAGAGGAGGAGGGATAGCGGCGGAGTAGTCTGCTGCTGCGCCGATGAGGGGAGAAACAAGAGGAGGAGGGAGAGCGGCGGAGGAGTCTGCTGATGCGCCGCTGAAGGGAGAAACAAGAGGAGGAGGGAGAATTGCGTAAGCGTTTGCAGTTGAGCAGTCGAGGGGAGGATATTCAGGAGGAGGGAAGGTGTGGAAGAGCAACAGCTACAAAACACAATCAGCTACCAGCAGCAGCAGATGAAGAGAGGAAAGAGGTGGAGGAAGGGGTGAGATAGTGGAGAGGGAACTAGTGGGAGAGAAGAGAGGAGGAGGATGGTGAAGGGGCGGAATGTGGAAAGGGCAGGGCGCACCACAAGTAGCTGCGAGCTGCAGCAAATGAGGAGAGAGAATGGGAGGAGGAAGAGGTGAGGTAGTGGGGGAAGCACAAAGGAGAGAGGAAAGGAGGAGGAGAGTGAGGGAGGGGGGGCGGATTGAGGAAGGGCAGGGCGCGCCGCAAGGAAAGGCAGGCGCGCGCACTGCCGGACGGTGCGAAACGCGCGCGGCGGCGGGAGCGCAATGCACGCGCGACGGGATGGGGGGGGGGGGGGGGGGGGGGGGGGGGGACGGCAGAGCGAGGGTCCATGAGAGGAGAAGCACCAAGAATGCTAGCATAAGAAGGCATGCTCACACTGAGAGCAGAGGGAAAAGCATCAGCACCAGGAGTCGCGACAGAAGGCGATGGGGGGGCAGGGGACTGGCGACGTTGGGGAGTCTGTAGAAACGAGAAAGGAGGAGAGGTCCATGTGGGAGAGAGGGGAGCGGATGACGCATAGGGTAGGGGAAGGAGGGGTAAAGGATGAGGGACAGCAGCAGGAGAGAGAGGGCAGTAGCGACGAGGAAGAGAGGGAGTCGGAAGAATGGGCGCCATAGGAGGGGAAGGAGACGGAAGCAGAACACTTGAGGGGAGAAATAAGAGGCGGAGGAATATGGCGAAGTAGTCTGCTGCTGGGCAGCTGAGGGGAGAGAAACACGGAGGGTATAGAGACGAGAGGTAGGGGAAAGGGTGAAACGAGCGAGATGCCGGTCTTGGTAATGAAGATCACAGTAAAGTTCACCTGCGGGGAAACTCGCTCGCACACCAAGGCATTGGAGGGCGGAGAGGGAGAGAAGGTTATGACGACAAGAGGGAACATAGAGGCCAGTGACTGCGCCAGAGGGGGAGGCAGGGCAGGGAAGAGAGGAGGTGCCAGTGCATGTCAGGGTCATGGTCTCCCCAGCTCCATGAATAAAGAGAGGGCGGGGAAAGGAACGAAGAACACCGGCATCACGAAAAACAGAGTAAGTAGCACCACTGTCGAGGACAAAGTCCAAGGTGCGAGGGAGAGAGAGAGCAGCAACCGTAGAGCAGGGATATGGAGAGACAAGGCTAGGAGCAGAAGGAAGAAATGGCACGGCAAAGAGAGGGTCCATGAGAGGAGAAGATAGACGGGTGAAAAGAGCGGAGTGTTGAAAATTGGACATTGCGCGTGTCATGGAGCGAGTGAGGCGCGGAGAGGGTGGGGGAAGGGGAACAGAAGGAGGGGAAGCATCAGGAGGTGACGATGGAGAGGACATGGGAGATGAAGAGGAAGAGGCAGGAGGAGAGTTGCCTGAGGTGACGGCGGAAGGAGGGGCGGAGGGGGCAGGTGGGAGAGGAGGAGCAGGGGCGGGGGGGAGGGGAGGTGGGGAGGGAGTAGCAGAGGGAGCAGCGGAGGGACGCGGATAAAAGTCAGACCAATGGAGAGAAGGAGTAGGAGGGGTGGGAGGGGGAGTGAGGAATGGAGAGCGAGTTTCGTCAAAGATGACATCCTGGCTGCGAATGAGCTGCTGAGAGGAGGGAGCATAGAAAAGGTAGCCAGGACAATCAGAGTTGATGCCAATGAATGCACAGAGCTGCGTCTTAGGAGCGAGTTTCCCACCCTGACGAGCCCGATCAGCTGGATTGACGAGGACATGAGCGACACAGCCCCACACCCGAAGAGGGCGAGCAGAGGGCTGGCGGCCCGTCCAGAGCTGAAAGGGGGTAATGGTGGGGCAAAGGGGATGAGGGCGAAGGTTGGAAAGAAGAGTTGCGTGAACAAGAGCATAGCTCCAAAGAGAGCGGGGAGCGGAAGCATGGGTGAGGAGACATCGAGTGATCTCCATGAGAGTGCGATTGCGACGCTCGGCAACACCATTCTGTTCAGGAGAGTGCGGTAGGGTCGAGGTTTGGCGAATGCCATGAGAGGAGCAGTAAGAGGAGAGAGAATGATACCATGTTAAGATGTGAGGAGCCATGGATGGCGAGGGAGTTAGTAGGGTCGAAAAAATTGTACTAGGAAAAAGTGTCGAGATACATTTGAAAGATAGGGGTGGGAAACCCCAACTGAACCTAGGGCGTGTTCAATGCAGAGACAAACTGCAAAGTGAACCTAAGACGAACCAGAAATTAAACTAAGTCTAAAAGTGGCCGAAAAAATTATAGAAGGCCAAAATGAAATGCAGAGCGAACACTAGCCTACTCCAACATGCACAACAGGAAAGTCCGAGCCGAAACTCTCTCTGAGCTGGAGACGAGCAGCGCGGATCCAGTCGATCAACACCTCAGTGACCTCACCCTTGCGGCGCAAGGGGAAGACCGTGGTGTAACGCGAGTAGTCGTCAACAACCAGCAGGAAGTAACGCTCGTGACCCTGTCCACGGACGCGGGCTGGGCCCCACACGTCCATGTGAAGAGTCTGCAGGGGAGCCTCTGTCGGAGGAAACTCGGAGGAGTGAGGAGCGGCGCGCTGCTGGCCCTCGACGCAGGGAACGCAGGTAGGGGCAGGCCCCGGAGGAAGGGGTGGGAGGGACTCTGGAAGACCAGAGACAAGGACACGGGAGGCCATGCCTCGAAGACGAGGCAGGGAGGGGTGACCAAGGTGGTGGTGCCAAAGGAGAGTCTCGTGAGACAGGAGGCGACACGAGCAGGGGGCAGACCCAGGACCAGACCGGGACGCTGCAGCAAACACCTGACCCGACGCGGCTACCTGACCAGTCGCAGTGACAGGAGGAGACTCAGTAGTAAGGGTGTACAGGCTGGACCCTGGCCGACGGGTGAACGTGGCCAGGTGACGGCCCGTCCAAGCACACGTGCAGTGCGTCACACGCTGATAGGCAGGGGTGAACTGGTGAACACCCCCATCCTGAAGATCAGCACCCGCCACCAAGTTCGTAGAGAACGAGGGGAGGTAAAGACCAGACAGCGAGCCGGACGGAGCCGCAGGACACGGGAGAACAGTGGAGGAACGGGCCACAACTGGTCCCCCAGAGGGGTCAGCCAGAGAGACTGCCACCGGCCGACTGAGCAGCGAGAGTGTGGTGCAGTCGCGAAAGAAGGAGCGGGAAGCACCCGAGTCAAGGGTGAAAGTGTGCAAGACCTGAGCCGACGCGGTACCTGAGAGAGCAGCCTCACCAGCACCTGGAGCAGCAGACTCAGGAGCTTCGCTGGCTGTCTTTCCTTCTCACCGACCTTGGTGAGCGGCCTCGCTCTCCCCCAGTCTTGTTCGCCGACAACAGGTCTGCTGTCCTGTTGTGTGAGTATCCCCGACTGGTTGGGAAGGCGAAGCACATCCAGCTTCGTTACTTCCTTCTGCGTGAGTTGCAGCAGCGTGGACATGCACTCGTTCGACGTGTGGTCTCTGAGGCCAACACGGCAGATATCTTCACCAAGGCGTTGCCGCCTTGTGACCACCAGCATTTCTGCACCCAGCTTGGCCTTGTGCCTGCCCGTCCTCACTTGCTTGCTTAGAGATGCCTTGTCCTGCATGTCTTGTACTCTTGCATTTCTTTATATTTGCTATATACCTGCATGTGGACTAGCCTTGTGGCCCCTTGCTTGCTCTCGGAGTGTGTGGTGACTTTGAGCTCCACCCTGAGATTTGTCTTGTTCTTGTAGACTGGTCTTGTGACCGTTGCTTGCTCTTGTTGTTTCTACAGGACTTCCGTCACCTAGACTATGGGGGTGTGTCAACATATATTTTATATGTGTTGTTTAGGTTAGTCTAGGTGTTACATTTCTATTTACTTGCATGATTAGGGTTTGCTATATCTAGGGTTGTACTTCACATTTTCTATCAATTCATTCATATCGTAACAGGTAGTGCGTGGCTGCCTAAGGCAGTGTGCATCAGCCTAAGGCAGCCTAAGGCAGAGCGCGGGGCAGCCTAAGGCAGAGCGCGGGGCAGCCTAAGGTAGTGCGTGGCCGCCTAAGGCAGTGTGCATCAGCCTAAGGCAGCCTAAGGCAGAGCGCGGGGCAGCCTAAGGCAGAGCGCGGGACAGCCTAAGGCAGAGGGCAGGGCAGCCTAAGGCAGAGCGCGGGGCAGCCTAAGGCACAGCGCGGGGCAGCCTAAGGCACAGCGCGGGGCAGCCTAAGGCACAACGCGAGGCAGCCTAAGGCAGAGAATGGGGCAGCCTAAGGCAGAGAACGGGGCAGCCTAAGGCAGAGAACGAGGCAGCCTAAGGCAGAGCGCGGGCGCACGTTTCTCTGCTGGGTGGCACGCGCTATGTAGGCTAGGTGATTACGGAGCGACGGAGTGATTACGGAGCGGTGGAGCGGTACTAGGCTAGGCTAGGCTAGGAGCGTACCTACTCGTGATACCATCTTAAGAGATGCATAGCGGAATAATGATGAGTAGCAAGATGGGAGATACAAATGCTAAACCTAGAAAGTGTTGTACTCCCTACAGCCCTACTCACTATAACCTATCAACATAATGTATAACATTTGACAATGATTAGGTCAAAGGGGGGGATACAACCAAAGTGTAGAGAGAATATATAATAAATGAAGTTTTGTACCCCCTAACATGCAACTCACTAGAGCATATCTAATAATACAATACAAACATAGTATGACACACCCCCATAGGCTAAGTGAGAGGCATCGAAGCAAGCAGAGTAAACAAACGGTCACACGACCAGTCAAGAGAAGTAACAAGACAAAGCTTAGGGTGGACCACAAAGTCACCACGCAGTCTGAACACAAGCAAGTGATCATAAGGCCAGTTCAAGAGTGCACAAATATATATAAATGCAAGATCAAGCAGAGCAAGAAACAAAAGACAAAACTACAGCAACCGAGGGCCTGCCTCAACAAGGCCTAGCTGCAGACAGAACCAGTGGTGGTCACCAGGCGGAAGAGCCTTGGTGAAGATGTCTGCAGTGTTGGCCGCTGAGGCCACAAAGTCTAAACGTGCCTGGCCGAGTCGCTGCAGCTCTCGCAAAAGAAAGTACATGACGTCGATGTGCTTCACTCTGCTCTCTAGTCGAGGCTCTCGACATAGGAGGATCATGGCCTTGTTGTCAGCGAACAAGGTCGGTGCAGATCTCGGCCGCTCACCAAGGTCGGTGAGCAAAAAGGTCAACCAGCGAAGCTCCTGCGCAGCCATGGCACCGGCGTAGATCTCTGCCTCTGCGCTAGACTGTGCCACAGACGACGAGCGAGTCGACCTCCACGACACAGCTCCAGCGCCCAAGCTGAAGCAGTACCCTGTCAAACATTATACATGTTTATATTGTGTAGGCTATAGTGGGTTTAGCCTTAGGGGGTACAACATTGCTAGGGTTTCCTACTTGTATCACCCTGCTGCCTAGTTCATTCATCCTCGTTCAGTTCTACATTCTAACATGGTATCCGACGCCTAGGTCAGGACCTAGGACCGACGTTGGTTAGGGCCCACCGTTCCGCCGCGCCCTTGCGCGACCATGTCTGATAGTACCTCGCGCCGTCGTGCGCCCCTACCCGCGCCGTCGAGCGCCCTTACTAGCGCCGTCGAGCGCCCCCCCCTTCTAGTGCCGTCGTGCGCCCTGTTGCTAGTTGCGCGCTGCCCACTAGCCTCGCACGCAGCCCCTCGCGGCCCCGTGCAGCCC